CGCTAACCCTGTCTTCTCCAAACTCTCTTTGCTTGAAGGATTCTGCCGCAGCCTTCTAAATCCCCTTGTCAGCCGCCTCTGGCCTGTTGTGTTCTCCTGGATTCCGAGCCTAATCCACTCTCCTTCCATGCACTACTCTCCCTGAATACTTATCCACTTCACTCTCACACGACCTCACCACAAAAATCTTCAATCCAACCCTCTTTCCCTTAGCTTCAGATGCGTCCAGCAGACGCCTCCAACTCCACACGGCCCAAGTGCGTCCTTTGCTCCCCACTTCCAGCTCCCTCCTGTGTTGTTCCTCAGCTGGTGCCACCACCACTGAGCTAACAGACCAAGCCACCCATCTGGCCACTACTCACGACCCTCCCCCCAGCTCCCACAAACTGTCAGTCACCAAGGATTGCTAGTTCTCCCACCTCGTAGGAGGTCGCCCCTTTCCATCTTGGCTTCTGCTGCTTCCAGTTAAGGTCCTCTCATCAATCACTCATGTATTCCTTCATCTACTCCGCAAATGTCCACTGAACTTCTACACCATGTACCAGAGGCTTCAGCTAGAACCAGGTGTGTCGCTGCCCTAAGGAAGCTTATGTGCCTGAGGAGACTCATTACACACTCTCAGGCAACAGTGAGTTTGGACATAATTGAGCATCAAGGGGAGGAACTACATCCAGCTTGGTTAGGGAGAGTTTGTTCAAGGAAGTCACATCGCAGCTGGGATAAGTAGGTCATGGGAGTTGGCTTAGGGAAGTGTTCTACCCACAGGGCTGGGCTGGCAAGAGCACAGACAGAAAAGCTTGGTGAATGGAGAGAGCCTCAGATAGGTGGATCGGCGGGAGCAGAGGGAGAGGGTGATGAGGCTGGGAGGTTGAGACTCCTGTGCCCCCTTAACTTGCTTGGGCAATGGGGCGGTCCCTGAGGGTGTTCCAAGGGAGGACAGAGACAATGAGAGATCACCATCTGCTGTGTGGGGACCAGAGAGGAGCAGGCAGGACTCCAGGAGGGACACCAGTTAGGAGGCTGTGGCAATCCAAGGGACAAAGATGATGGACTCAATGTTATGACGGTGTAAGGAAAAATACAAATTAAAAATAAGAGGTTTTAATTCTCCCTGTTAAAAATAAGGAAAAAGGCTCCCCGCCCCTCCCCCACTTCTTTGAGAATTCACTTTAGATAACTTGTAATTGTAAATTCTCTGTCTCACTGAAAAGTATGTAAATCTAAGATGTCTCCACAAGGGTCAAGCAGCAACCACTTTGAAATGTAACTTCAGATGGGCCTCCCTTACCTTCCCATTTCCTGAGAAAAATTAGCATTACCTCAGGTGGCCCAGCTCCAAACTGCAAATCTACCTCCTGCCATAAAAATACCAGAAAACTACCACTATTCTTTTCAAAACACGAACGTAATGAGTTGTATCCCCCCAGCTACAAGCTGGTTAAGATTCCTTCCAGTCTGCAATCTCTTCGGCAGATCCTGTGGTCCACCACATTCAGGCTAAGCTTACTCAGCAATAAAACTTTACTTTCTCTTCTGTTTTTGTAGAGAGGTTTTCAGGGTTGAAAGCAGATTCCGTTTTTAGTAACTTTTCGAAAGTATTATAATAAAGTATTTTAACGTATTATAATGAATAAAGTATTATAATGTACTATAATTAATAAAATCTTATACATCTTACCTACTCTTCACTTACTATCTCATTATCGAATATTTCGCGTTTACGACAACAGTAAAAAATCTCTCTATCCTGCACATTAATGACACGTCTCAAGGAAGGAACACCGAGGTGCGAGGCGAGAGTAACGCTGGCTGTGGCGGTTAAGGTTATGTGTCAACGTGACTGGGCCGTGATTCTTAGTGGTTTGGGAGTTATGTAATGATGTAATTTGGCAATTATGTAATTATGTGATCAGACACTTACGTAACGATGTAGTCATCGTCCATTTTTACATAATGCTGATTTTTGCGTAACGACTTGGTCTTTGGAGCATAACCACGTCAGTAAGTGAGTGAGTATAATGAAATGTGCGAAGACCTGGAGTTAGAAAACCAAAAGGGAAGAACATGCTAAGCAATTCTCAAGCTGAAAGAACTAAAGAAAAAATTCAAGCCTCAAGTTGCGATATTGAAGGATTCTATGTGCAAAATATTGAACGATGCAGGATGCATCAAAAGAAGATGGAAGGAATACACAAAGTCACGGTACCAAAAAGAACTGGTTGATGTTCAACCATTTCAGGAGGTAGCATATGATCAAGAACCGATGGTACTGAAGAAAGAAGTCCGAGGAGCACTGAAAGCACTGGCAAAAAACAAGGCTCCAGGAACTGATGGAATACCAATTGAGATGTTTCAACAAATGAATGCAACGCTGGAAGCGCTCACTCATCTATGCCAAGAAATTTGCAAGACAGCTACCTAGCCAACAAACTGGAAGAGATCCACATTTGTGCCCATTCCAAAGAAAGGTGATCCAACAGAATGCAGAAGTTATTGAACAATATCATTAACATCCCATGCAAGTAGAATTTTGCTGAAAATAATTTAAAAATGGTTGCAGCCAAACATCGTCACGGAACTGCCAGAAATTCAAGCCAGATTCATAAGAGGACGTGGAACAAGTAATATCATTGCTGATGTCAGACGGATCTTGGCTAAATACAGAGAATACCAGAAATACGTTTACCTGTGTTTTATTTACTACGCAAAGGCATTCGACTGTGTGGATCATAACAAATTACGGATAACACTGCGAAGAATGGGAATTCCAAAACACTTGATTGTGCTCATGAAGAACCTATATGTAGACCAAAATGCAGTCGTTGGAACAGAACAAGAAAATACTGCGTGGTTTAAAATCAGGAAAGGTGTGCGTCAGGGTTGTATCCTTTCACTATACTTATTCAAGCTGTATGCTGAGCAAATAATTCGAGAAGCTGGACTTTATGAAAAACTCGGCATCTGGAGGAAGACTCATTAACAACCTGCGTTATGCAGATGACAACAACCTTGCTTGCTGTAAATGAAGAGGACTTGAAGGACTTACGGATGAAGATCAAAGACCACAGCCTTCCGCATGGATTACACCTCAACATAAAGAAAACAAAAATTCTCACAACTGGACCAATAAGCAACATTATGATAAACAGAGAAAAGATTGAAGTTGTCAAGGATTTCATTTTACTTGGATCCACAATGCCTGTGGATGTAGCAGTCAAGAAACAAAAACACACTACACTGAGCAAATCTCCAGCAAAAGACCTCTTTAAAGTGTTAAAAAGCAAAGGTGTCACCTTGAGGACTAAGGTGTGCCTGACCCAAGCCATAGTATTTTCAGTCGCCTCGTATGTATGCGAAAACTGGACAGTGAATAAGGAGAACAGAAGAATTGATGCCTTTGAATTGTGGTGTTGGTGAAGAATACTGAATATACCATATGCTGCCGGAAGAACCAACTAATCTATCTTGGAAGAAGTACAGACAGGATGCTCCTTAAAAGGGAGGACGGCAACACTTCCTCTTATGTACTTTGGACATACTACCAGGAGGGACCAGTCCCTGGAGAAAGACATCATGCTTGGTAAAGTAGAGGATCAACGAAAAAGAGGAAGACTCTCAAGGAGATGGAATGACACAGTGGCTGCAACAATGGGCTCAAACACAGCAACAATTGTGAGGATGATGCAGACCCAGCAGTGTTTTCTTCTGTTGTATGTAGGGTCGCTATGAGTCAGAACTGACTTGATGGCACCTAACAACAACGAAAACGTTTCCTCAATAAGGGAAAAGGTTGGAAAACAATAAAAAGCAGCTGCTTTCTATATGCAGTAAAGGTGGAATCAGTAGGGCTTGGTACCTGTTTGGCTGCTGGGGGGAGGGGCTATTAACTGTATTAACCAGAGGGAAGGCACATTGAAGCCTCTTTGGGCTGGAATATTCTATCTCTATAGGACACTAGCCTTCAAGATTTTTGGTTGTGTTATCTGAAAAGAATTTTAAAACTCTGTCTCCCCGTGCACGTTTTTAAGTTGATATCTAAAGTTATTTATCATAAGTGTAATCAGTTGCAAAAGTTGCAGTTACTGTCATACATTGCACAGGCGTTTTAAATAAATTGTGTCAAAACTTTGGACCTGCAGATTCAGCTCGTTCAAGCAACGGAAAATGGCCATAACCAGTCTTTACGGGCAACCCTATCTGCCAAATTTGGCTTGCTTTCGGTCAGATAAAGTTTGACATCACTTTGGTCGTTATCCAGATCGCATAAAGGTGAACAAGAACCACACGAAACCATCTCGCTCCTGACTTCTAATTCAGAAAACCTTGCCGTGAGATTCTCACCGGACGATGTAAGGCGCTGCCCCCTCAACATTTCTAACATTTCTTCCCGAAGCGCTCTTAAATCTTTTAACTTCAATATCCAGCAAAGGGAAATCAAGACCCTGCGCTGGCGGAGCTGGCATTCTTCTTCAGAAAACAGACACAAATAAAGACATTAACCCGCAAATCGGTGCTACGGCCTCGGCCGGCGCTCATCCGCGGCCACTGTCTTCGTCCAAACAGCCCCCCGGGCAGGACGAGCCGGGCCCCGCGCGGCGGACTGGGCGGCCGCCGGGGAGAATGGCGCGCCGCCTTCCCCAGGTCGTCTTCCTCGAGCCCCCGTCCCTTCCCTCGGCGCAGGCGGCCCAAACGACCGTTTGCGAGACGACGTGACGAGCGCTGCACGGGAGGCTCCCCGCGGGCAGGATGGTCCGACCTTGTCCACCCATCTGGTCTCGAGAGGGCACGCGCTCAAGGACACTCGTGGAATAAACTCAAGGAATTCACCTCAACAGCCCTCGAGAGAGCCCACTCCCGGCCCAACCTAACGGCTCCGCCCTTGGGCCTCGGGAAGGCAAGCGCCCGGGAAGCAGACCGTCGGGAGGCGACTCCGTCTGCAGGCCGGCCTAACAGCACAGGGCATCTTCTCCCCCGCCCCTGCCCCATTCCCCCGGCCTCACACAAACGACGGGAAAAGACGCTGGGACCTTCGCTTCCGATTCAGTCTAGAGGTCGCCATCCCCGCGCGGAGTTTCCGCACCTCGACGCCGCGGCGCCGGCCATTTTGCCCAGAAGCGATCGAGGCCTTTTGACTCTCGCGCCAACCCGTAGAGCGAAGGCGCTGCGCGAGGGGAGTTCTGCGCAAGGACGGAAGCTGGTGTTTGCGCTTCCGGGTGGCCGCCGCGCCCCGCCCCCTTGCGGGAACGCTCTATTGGTTGCCGCCTCGTGATCTCGCGAGAGGAGGCTGAGGGGGCGGCCGCCG